CTATCCCAAAAAAACATCTTTCCTTTTTGTCCCATTCCTCTGCACCTCTCCCCTGCACATGCACACTAACCATATCTGCAGCTACAACTTAAGAAGCCTAAAGATAGGGTCAGTGTGACATATGCAGGGGAGAGGTGCAGAGGAATGGGATGGGGGACCAGTGACTGTCATTTTCATTTTATCGATTTTATCTCCTGCACTCACTTCATACAATCTAGTCAGAATGGCACCTCTGGGGCATGGGTTCTCAGTCCAAACCATGTGAAATCTCTTCTTAGCCAAGGGGAGCTTAAGAAGTAGTAACTTGGGTCTTTGCAGGTGTTTTGTTTACTATTAGGTTGGTGCAAAAGTAATTGCCGTTTTTGCCATTGCTTTTAATTACTTTTGCATTAACCTAATAAGAATCTGCTTGATGAGGGTAGGGAAGAACCATGCCAAGGCATGACCAACAAGAAGAAGCAGGAGAGCCTCTGTATTCCCAGGAGCCAGGATTCCTTTATTCATGTGTAGTCAGGTGACTGAACGGAGCTTTAGTCACCCCAGTGGAAGCTGAACATAAAACCTGCATGGTTATTTTTTAAAAAAACAAAGCTATTTCCTCCCAGACCCCAGAGGAGCAGGTTCCAGAAGGTCAACATCGATCCTGAATTAACTTTATGTTTTACCTTTACTTTTACAAAATATGTCTAAGTGTTAAAAGAAAATCTTCAGCCAAATTAACTTTAGAGGAGTTTAATAGAGCAATGAATGGTTCGTGAATTGGGCAGCCCCCAGAATCACAGCAATTCAGAGAGAGTGCAGGGGTGCTTCATGCTCAGAACAAATTTACAGACAAAAGTGTAAAGTGAGGTATAGAAATCAGAAGTGAGTACAGAAAGAGCTTGACTGGTTACAACTCGGTGTTTGCCTTATTTGAACACTCAGCAGGGTATGACTGTCTCAAGTATGGCTGCTGGGATTGGCCAAGACTAAGCAATTATTACAGGTGGATGTTCCTAAGTTAGGTTTTCAATCTTGTCTACTTATTAAGTTACGTTGCAGTTCACCCACAAGAACTCAAAAATAGAAGCAGAGAGTCCTTCTCAGGGCATGTATAGTTTGCTTTAACATAATACAAAATAAAAGCTCTTCTGGAGTTTCTAGTGGCAGTTGAAATAGTTTCATATGTGGACACCAGAAAATAAGCCATTCTTCATACCGATACGGCATAAGCTCTTTGACATCTAAGGGGTGGGAGTTCATCCTGCTGTGCATTTTAGAGCCCCTCCCCTGTCTTGTTTTGTGGCAGTGAAATATTTCTTGACTATGTCTAAGTGTGTCTTTCACTGTGTATGACTTTTGAACCATATGCCAATTGCTTGGTCCTTCCCCAGGCCCAGTACTCATTCTGGACATAGCTATACTAAATCTTTTTTCCAGGTCAGTATAAGAAGGGAGTGATGTGTAATAAAAAAAATGGATCATAAACTGAAATATAACTTAGTCATAAAAACTTTAAGAGAAAAAGAAAATTTTTGTGACCGTGGGTTAGGCAAAGTGGCAATTCCAGGCAAGGTATTCTTAGATATTACAACAAATGCACAAACCATCAAAAGAAAAATTAAAAACCTGAAAAATTAGACTTCATTGAAATTGAAAACTTTTGTATTTCCATAGACACTATTGAGAAATTCAAAAGATCTGAATACTGGAGGTTAGCAAAAAAGAAAAAGAAATTGGAAAAATAAGTCACATACTGGGAAATGTTATTTGAAAACCATGTACCTGACAAAAGTTATACTCAGAATATATAAAGAAATCATATAACTCAATGACGAAAAGACATACAACCCAATTTTTAAAATAAGCAAGAGATTAGTAGATATTTCACCAAAGAAGATATATCAATGGCTAATAAACATATGAAATACAAATTAAAATTACAATGACATATGACAACATATACTACAATGACTATAATTAAAAGGCATACAATACCAATTACTGAAGAGGGTGTGAAAAAACTAGAACCCTCATGCATGCAGATGAGAAAGGAAAACAGTACAGCCTTTTTGCAAACCAGTTTGGCACTTTCTTAAAATGTTAACCATAAACTTACCATATAAGCCAGCAAATCCCTTCCTAGAAATCTCTTCTAAAGAAATGAAAACACATGTCCACAAAAAGGTTTCCAATATTCATAGGAGTTTTGTATCCAAAAACTGGATACAATTTAAATGTCTATCAACTAGTAAACAGATAAACAAGATGTGGTATATCCACAAACTGGAACACTATTCAACAACAAAACGGAATGAGGTACAGACATATGCAACAGCAGGGATGAACTTTATTCAAAAGCATTAGCCTAAATGAGAGAAGGTAGATACAAATCCTACATACCTTATTATTTTTACAGGTAGTTAGATAGGGATGAGTGGGGCAAGAGAGTCTCCCAGCATCCAATAAAAATATCAGGTGACAGTTCAATAATTATCATACTCCCTCTCTGAAGCCAGGGAAGAACAAGCTCCTGATGATCCACAGCTGTTAACACTAAAGTGTTAATTGAATGCAGATGCCAGGGAGAAGAAACTTCCTGGGCATGTGTGTTAAGAGACAAAATGGCAAAGTATGACCACCCGCTCCCCGCCACTCCCCCCGCCCCCAGCCGCCATGCACTCTATGGGAAAAAGGAAGAAAGCCTCAGATGGGTATGAGTACAACTTTCTAAACACATTGCATGTGATCAGTTCCCAACAGTAAGGAAAGTACTGTGTATGCAGGAAGCCCACCCTAAGAGAAGAATCCTGGGAAAGAGGTGAGCCTATAAAGCCCTAGGATCTAGGTTACATGCTCTTCACATGTCTGCTTGGGTCTCTTCCAAGCATACCTTGCTTTCTTTCCTGTTCTAAAGCATTTTAAAATAAACTTCCACTCCTGTTCTGAAACTTGCCTTGGTCTCTTCTTCTTCTTTATGCTTCTCATTCAGACTCTTTCTTCTGAGGATGCAAGGGCTGAAGTTGCTGCACACACGTACAGATATGCCACCAATAACTTGGGCAACTCGAGTCTCTTCCACTGGTAACATTATTTCATTCATATGAAATATTCGGAAAAGGCAACTTTATAGAAATAGAAAACAGATTAGTGCTTGCCTTGGGCTGGGATGGGAACTGAGATTGAATGCAAACAGGCTTTTGAGAATGTTTGGAGAGTGATGGAAATGTTTTAATACTGGATTGTAGCTGTGATTGCGTAACACTATAAATTTGCTAAAAATTATTCAATTGTAAACTTACAGTGGATAAATTGTATGTATGTAAGTTACATCTCAGTAAGGATATGTAAAAGAAAGAATAAGCTGCTCTGTGACAAATTAAGAAAGTGAGAAGAATATCCTGAAATAACTTTTAAATAAAATCCCCCTTCATACACTCATCACCCCCCCCATCAACTTATATACTTCCATGTTATATTGTGGTTCTTCCCCCATTAAATTATATCATAAGCCAGCAATTTCCTCAGGGTAGGTTTATTCCAACAAAGGGTTGATCTAAAGAAATACATTCTTGTTCTTTAATTTTCAAAATACACTTCTAAAACACCTGGAAGGGATAATAGTTTTGAGAATATTCTTCCAAAAGGATCTTAGGCTATTCATATGCCACTCTACCCTCTACCTGTAGGCTGAACCATGGGGTGGGGTAGCTGGTAACATAAAGAAACCAGAGATAGTGTTGACTAATTTAAATACTTAGGGATACTTGGCTTCTGTATTTGCGGAGAATCCAGAATGTGGGCAAAATCCCTGAATTTCTCATATCCGAAGAAGTGAACAGAACAGAACCATCTGGAGAAAGGATCTAGGCAGGCCCAGGAGAGCTCTACCAAGATTCCTGCAGCTCTAGAGCAGCAAGGCAGCAGCCGCTTCTGACTTGTGCACTACACAGTGCCGAGGAAGCACCTGAGAGTGACGTTCAGATCCACAGAAATCTCAACATTCAAAGAATAGCCAGTTTCCCCAAACCTTATTGCTAAAACTACCAAGAGCACAGGTGTGATTCTGGAAATGGGCAAAGGCAGATCTGCGATTCCTTGAATTGACTCAGATTACATGTCTTCCTTCTGGCAGAATGGGAGCATGAAATAAAAAATAAAATAACAAATTTGCTTACAGAAGAACAGAAAACAAGAAACTTATATTTCATCCACACTTAATGTGTAGGCTGAGACTTACACCTGCTGTATAGCACTATAATGCAGTATTTTGCAACTTTTTTTTACATTATTACCTGCCTACGGAGCCTTTTTAGACTTTTTTTTCTAATTGCTCTCCTCATAAAATTTTAATAACATAGTTATACTGTATATATTTTTATATGCTGTATTTGTATCTGCATCTAGTATGTATAAAACATAAGGGGTTTTTTTGTTTGTTTGTTTTTTGTTTTTTGCCTGCCCTTAGACCCAATTTTATTTCATGCACTCTCAACAAGGGTGATATCACTCCAGGGCAATATCACCCTTGTTGAGAATGTTTAAAAGAAAATTCTACTTGATGCTGAATACAAAATAAGCTAAATAATTGATTATATTAATTTATGGCTAGCACTTGGCCAAATATTTTCTTATACAATATCTCATTTGGCTCCTGCTAAAAACTTGTGAAATATTCTTACCATTCTTATTTTCACAGACAATTAAATGACTACTCTGCTAGTAATAGTTGAACTGGAACTGACACCTAGATCTAACTCAAATTCTATGCTTTTTCTGCTTGACACTGCACCAGAAAACATTTTCTTTTGGGAAATGGTAGCAACTGTCTCCTTTAAACTATGGAAGTCTAGTAAGATAAAACAATAGAAAATATAGAGGACACCCTCCCATGTGGAAAGAAACTGACCAATTTGGTGGTTTATTCACCTCTAATTATTGGCATTTTGCAGGAATAGCTGAAAAGGTATGCAAAATTCAATACAAAATATGTAATGTGCAAATATCTAGGAACTGGGATGGCTTTGTTTTCCCTATGACTGACATTTTCATATAACTAGATAAGTATATAGGCATTTTAAATGGTGAGAGGCTGCAGCTGGCATAAAACATCTGCAAAAGACTAATTTGAAAATTATTGCTTAAAGAGTATTGAAAATACATATACAAACACAGAGAGATAGAAGTTAACATATATACAATAGCATATAAAAAGACTTTATTGTCATTAATGAGCAATACTCTAGTCCAAAGAACTGATTCCAAAACTAAATCCATAGTTTGTCAGCTGCTAAATTTTTTTACAGAAAAATCTATAAGCACTATTTAATTATAGCTGTATTTGTAGCTCACATTCAGACTCTAGATATGTATACCAAGTGTTTTGTCATATATATGGTTTAGATGTTGCATGCCAAATCCCCACGTCTATACAAAGGAATCACTGCTGCACTGTTTCCCTAGTCCTTAGAATTACAAAAGGATGTTACTCCCTGAACTGTAATATATGATGTGAATTTTAGACTCATGGTTTTGAGGAGCCTTTCCTGGCATTACCATTTGAGGAGCAACTCTTTCAACTGTCTGTATTTCCACTGAACACATTAGCCTCATCTTCAGGCCTTAAGATAAATAAGCCAAATAATTTAAAATTTTCCAGAAGAGGGTTTTATATACTGCCTGTTTTAGAAAACAATACTGAGGAGCAAACAGCAGATAATCTGAAAACAAAAAATCTCCAGGTAAAACATGATCTAGAGGTTTATACCACAAAGTAGGAAAGGACATGCCAATGGCTCCAGCTCCATCATTCTGAAACCTCTAGATAAGGGTTGGGGTGAATCTAGTCCAAGTAATCATGTACTGTAGACTGATCCTACACTTCCCATGAAAAATGAGAGAATCAGTGGGTCAAGGAGTTGGTGAAAGAACATTCCAGGAGAATGGCAGCAAGGGCCCCCAAGGAAGGAAAGGTTTTGGGTTATTTGCAGAACTGAAAGAATTCTAATATGTATTATTCCTCTGGAGTTGGCAGAAATATTCATCATGGAAATCATTTGACATATTTCAGCATGTTTAATTATTATGTTGTTCCTGTTTCTATTTGGCCTAATAAATGTCATAAAAGAATAGAATAATCAATATACATGACAGGGATTAGAATAATTCAAGTAGCAACAAGTAGTAAAGAAAAGCATATGGGTTGTGCTATACCAACTTAAAGAGTATTTGAATTGTTATGTACACGAAACTGACATAGCAAAACACCTCAAAATTTTAACTCCTTTCATACAGAAAAGGGCATAATCCATCATGACCCTTCAAATTCAGGAAATTCTGATATAACTCTGATTTTAGTAGAAGTGTTTAAAACTCATTTGATTTTTAAAATAATATTTTTCTTTAATATCCTGAAGAAAACATTTAGATTAGATGGCTGTGACCCCTCTTTCCTAAAATTTATAGTGAAACACATTGAATTTAAGGTAATGGTGTTGAAATATAGCAGTAAGTCAATCTGAGGACAACCTAATGTTCTCGTATGTTACAATTTTCTTGGATGAAGAAATCTCTTTCTGTCCACATCTATATCTATATATGTGATATAAACATTGATATTTTTGACTGAATTAAGAAATCAATTTAAGACAAATGGCATAACCATTCAAATAAACATTTTTTTGAAAAATGTACAATTGTTTACTAAATACAGCTGTCAGGTAGAGTCTGAACAACACCTGAATCAAATGTAGGAAATCAATTTGATAATTTAATGTGGTCTTCAAATATTCTTTTTTTATTTTGCCCAAGAGACTATATAAATTAAGTAAAAGAGCTTCATGGACTTGTATAGCAAGAAAGGCAGTCAAAAGTTAATGAACGTGGCCAAGCATGGTCGCTCATGCTTGTAATCCCAGCACTTTGGGAGGCTGAGGCAGGTGGATCAACTGAACTGTCAGGAGTTCGAGACTAGCCTGGCCAATATGGTGAAACCCTATCTCTATTAAAAATGCAAAAATTAGCAGGTCATGGTGGTGCACGCCTGTAGTGCCAGTTACTCGGAGGGCTGAGGCAGAATTACTTGAAACTGGGAAGTAGAATTTGCAGTGAGCTAAGATTGTGCCACTGCACTCCAGCCAGTGACAGAGCAAGTCTCTGTCTCAAAAAAAAAAAAAAAAAAAAAAGAAAGAAGAAAGAAAGAAAAGGCCAGGTGTAGTGGCTAATGCCTGTAATCCAGCACTTTGGGAGGCCAACATGGGCAGATCACCTAAGGTCAGGAATTTGAGACCAGCCTGACCGACATGGTGAAACTCTATCTCTACCAAAAATACAAAATTAGCCAGGCGTTGTGGCACATGCCTGTAATCTCAGCTACTAGAGAGCCTGAGGCAGGAGAATTGCTTGAACCCAAGAGTTGGAGACTGTAATGAGCCAAAATTGTACCACTGCACTCCAGCCTGGGCAAAAAAAGAGTAAAACTCCATCTCAAAAAAGAAATAAAAGCTAATGAATAGGCCAGGCACAGTGGCTCATGCCTGTAATCCCAACACTTTGGGAGGCCGAGGTGGGTGGATCACTTGAGGTCAGGAGTTCAAGACCAGCCAGGCCAACATATGAAGTCCCCATCTCTACTAAAAACACAAAAAATTCTCTGAGTATGGTGGTGCCTGCCTGTAGTCCCAGCTACTCCAGTGGCTGAGGCAGGAGAATCTCTGGAACCTGGGAAACGGATGTCACAGTGAGCTAAGATTGGGCCACTTCACTGCAGACTAGACAACAGAGCCAGATTTTATCTAAAAGAAAAGTTAATGAACAGATTATAAGAATCACAGGAAAATTATTGAAAATTAGATAAAATGTCTCCAGATGTTAAAGACTAAGTCATATCAGTAATAAAAATAGCAAAATAATAACTATAAAGGAATGATTAAAAATACAAATGAAAATATCATATTCTAGTAACAATGCCATCAGTGAGTAGGTAGTAAGCTTTGTTAAGGCAGGGGTCTACAAAATTTGTCTGTAAAGATTATGGTAGTAAATATTTCAGACTTTATGAGCCACATATCCTTTGCCTTTTTTATTACAGCTTTAAAAAAATGTAAAAACCATCCCTCAAGGCAAGTACCAGGTTCTTTTTTTATATCACCACGTAGTTAGTGGCTTACTAAATATCAACAGGTGGACTGAGAGATGGGATTCATTTTTCAGTTATCTGAATTATGAAACTGTTCAAGAGTAGCTCTGCAAAAGATGAAAAGAGGAATACGATTTCCAGAATTATCTTTCAAGAATTCACAATTAAATGGGTTGTTTCCTCAGTTCTACATTTTGATCAGATAAGTACTTCATCAAATGAAAATCTTCAGTTTATTAATCTGACCACTATCCAGTGTCAATATGCTTTGAAAAAGGACTCACAAAATCTCAAAACTAAAGCTGTCTTTGATAACTGCATGTAACTGCTTGATAACTGTGGCTTCTACTTGAGCCACATAGTGACTACATCTTTGTAATTCTCTCTGTTCCCCCTGTACAGACCACCAATAAATGAGGTGGCTTCAAGTACCTGGTTTGAAGACAGCTCACCAAGCATAAGAACTGGGAAAAAAATATTCAAGCCTGAAAAGCTGGTTTCTTTCCCTAGCCATAAAGGGAGATGAATAGAAAGTGAAAGCGAATTGGTAGAACGGTTGATTTCATCCTACCTGTTCCCTCAGTAATCACTGAGGGAAAGAGATGACACCAAAAAAAAAAAAAAAATAGCCCTCCAAGCAAACTGAGCGAAGGGCTCAGAATCTACACAACTAGAAACCACTGTTTGACTGGAGCTACTTGACAGCAGACACTTCAAGTTGATCTGGGGTAGATCATAAGTGACATGGGCAAAGTTATGTCTAGGCTGGAAAGGGTTAGAATCATCTATAGTATTCTTTGAAATTAAATTTGGTACAGAAGATAATACCAGATTTTCTATGGGCTTATAAGAAGATACAAACATAAATGAGAACATCAGACCCCAAGAGAAACTTGTCATGAGTCATGTGGAAGAGTCCCTGGGGTGAAGTTCAAAGGACCACTCATGCCATGAAATTTCATGGAGACCTAGCTAGGCACTTCAGCCACCCCATATGACATACAACAGTGACAGCACTTCAGTCACTGCTGCTGTGAGGGCAGTAACAACTAGTCACTATACCCCATGGGATCAGTAGCAGACAGAGCCAGCCTAGAAGCCCTCCTGGAATATTGTGTTACTTCCCAGTACTAAGTGGGCAAGTACATAGACCACGCTCTTCCTCCTTACACCAACACCATATAGGATTCCCAGCATCTTAAGAAATGAGAACCAGAGGCCAGGCATGGTGGCTCATGCCTGTAATCTCAGCACTTTGGGAGGTCAAGGTGGGCAGATCACGAGGTCAGGAAATTGAGACCATCCTGGCCAACATAGTGAAACCCCGTCTCTATTAAAAAATACAAAAATTCGCTGAGCGTGGTGGCACATGCCTGCAGTCCCAGCTACTCGGGAGGCTGAGACAGGAGAATTGCTTGAACCCGGGAGGCAGGGGTTGCAGTGAGCCAAGATCACGCCACTGCACTCCAGCCTGGCACCTGGTGACAGAGTGAGAGTCTGTCTCAAAAAAAAAAAAAGGGAACCAGGAAAAATAAATAAAGGAAAAAGAAGCCTGAAATGCAAAGTTTTCCACTGAAGTACAGTAACTACATTTGTTTGAAGAAACTTCAGTGTAAGTCTAACCTGGTCTAGAAAAAGTTGTCTGAGCTATCTAAGTTAGGACATTTCTCTTTTAAGAAAGTTTATTTAGTTATAAGATTAGAGTTGCATTTTTGCTTCACCAACTTTTATGAATCGTTAGAGCCATGAAGCATCCTATAAGATATACAGATAAATAAAATAATGTTTTCCTCAAGTTGCACAAAGTTAGAATACAGAAAATTTCAGAAATCCATAAGAAATTACAGACATTTAGAAATGCAAGAACCTGAAGGCAGTTAAAAAATATGAAGAAGAAGTGAGAAAATAATTATCTATTTAAAAATCACAGTGAAAAAAATCTCAAGTTTAAGATTGCCTCCAAATCTCTTATAAATTCCAGTTTATTCTGATAGAATAAACAAACAGGTTTCCAGGGAGATTAAATCAATTTTCCCCTCACATAAAATCTGCAGAAACTGTACGTTTTTAAGTACTGAGATATAGGAAAGCTTTAGAAATATGTCAAACTGCCAGATGAAGGATTAATACATTAAGTTGGAAAAACATTGGCTGTGCTTACCAGAAAAATCTGTGATATATGGTTGACAACAAATTTGTCAACCATATACTTCAACTCTTGAAATATCTTTCAACAGTTTGATAAGGATTATCTAAAGCAAATGCAAAATTATAATAAAAATAGGCTATAATTAAGAATAAACTCATGGAGTGCATCTAGAAGAGCCAAGATTATGATAGTGTCATAAATATGTGTAACAATTGAAAGAACTGAGGGTGTTGAGTTTAGAAAAATTAAGATTTAGTAGTGCAGATGACACCTTACATCTATCTTCCAGTAACTAAAGGGCTGTTATGTAAACACATGGAAGAGAAATCCGGTTTATCCTGTAAACTCCTAGGCATTTGAGAACAGAATTCATTATAGTCAGTTATAGATATTGGTGACATATTTTATCTAAAATGATAAAGGAAAATCTAACAACAGTGACTGTTCAGTAAAGATGTCTTGTGTGGTTAGGAGTTCCTCATCACTGCAAGTATTGATAAAGAAGCGAGACCTAAATATAAAAACTGAGAGAATTCCCACGTTGGATATAGAGGGTAAGGCTGGATGGCTCTACACCACCTTGAACTCTAAGAATCCTTCATTTTATTATACTTTATGGCCTTCCATAGATAAAACTTTGAATATGGAGTTTTTGAAAATATTATCTTAAGCCATTTTCCTTTTGTCTAAAATTTTAGAGTTTTATCTTCAGCTGTCTGAATTTCATGACTAAATTTACTCTGGCAATAGAGTTGCTAGTTGCTAGATCCAGAACAAAATTACAGGAAAACCAATGATCTAACTGTTGCATTAAGGAAGTAGTCTCAAGCTCAAATTCCTACAAAGTTCAGGTAGGTACTATAAACTACTGCTTTGGGCAGGTGATTCTTCCACTTTTGAAACATTTCAGTCTGTCAAATAATCATTAGTGTTTCCAATTTTGGCAAAAAACACGACGTCTTACCTAAATTAATGTTAAACCCCTGTGTAATCATTCTTTGCATATGTTTGTGCTCAAGTGATGCCTTTCTTCCGTATGGAACTTAGGGACTCACACTGCTCTCATCCTGTGGTACTGAAGGTCTAGGATATTCCAATCCCAGCTTCAAAGGGGAGAAAGAGGTTGGAGACTCTTGGTTTTTTTCTCAAAAACCTTGTCAAGAATGAAATCCATTACTTCTGCTTGCATTCCATTAGTGAGAATTTGTTACCTGGCTTGTATAAAGAGGGCTGTGAAGTGCAGTACATAATTAAGAAGGCACTTTCCAATGGCAACTCCAAATAATTATTAGACAGCTTGCCATCTCTGCCACATATTGAAATAAGGACTCTTTTCTCCATTATGAGTACATCGACAATGCAAGGGTGATGATAAACAGCCACTGAGAATAAGCCTCATTGCAGTGGCTCGGACCATGGGACACTGGAGAACATGCACAGCCACCACCCCTCCCCTAAGAAGAGATGGCTACTGTAGGACTCTAGGTAATTCACCCATGTAGTGCCTGCACATAGGAGGTTCTCAGGAAATATTTTTTGGGATTAATTGAAGAGTCCATTATTAGACCTTCGAAATTTTTTTCAGGAAGGATCAGACATTTACATATTTATGTAAAATCTGCTGGATTATAAATTTGGAACCGAAGTTAAAAAAAAAAAAAAAAAAACCTTTGCAATAGCAGCAAGACACTTCTGTGCCAAATATGCATCATAGGCAACTCATTTTCAAGTTTTGTATAACAGTTACCAAGGAGTTTTCCAAAGATGCTCCAAACATTTTCAAACTAGTTACTTTATTCAAGGGACAAATAATACATTATAAAAAGTAGCAATAATATTGGTTCATTTAAAACATTTTCCTATGAATGTACAATCATAGTCATGGCTAGAAGAGTTTAGAATATGGCTAGAAGAGTTTCTTCTAGATATGAATACTTGCTTATGTATAACTTTAGATTCTGATGAGAATGAAAAAAATAGAGTAGAAACCAGAAAATACTGCTTCCCAGTTTAATTTTAAGCTTGATTAAAGATGATGGAGTATTGGAAAGACAGGAATAACCAAATGAAATAGAAATGAACAAGGGACCGTAAAATGTCCAGGGGCAATTTGACTTTGGCAGGGTTCCTTGTGTCTAGTTCACCATCTTTTGCTTGTTTATTTTACCAACGGGGAAGATTGCTGGTTTATCTCTGAACATTCTGCACAAGTTAAATGTGACATTTTCTTTCTCCTCTAATGCTGTCTAATCATATTGTTTCTGAACCAGTGCTAGTCCTAATGCTTTTTCCAAAAATGGAAGCTGTGAAACTAATTATTTAAAAAATCGCCATGAGAATTACTTCTCTCTACTCTTTCACAAGATGGCTGGCCCTGTGCAGCACATCAAGCTTAATACAATTTTAACCTCACTGAGCATTCAGGTTTGTCCCCAAACAGCCTAAACATATAGTTTAGCCACTTCCAAAAGATTAACCAAGTTCTTGTTTTCCACAGGGGAAAAAAAAAGGTCAGGTTGGAACTTTTCAGCCGCAAAAAAAAAAAAAAAAAAAAAAAGGAGTTTACTACAATATGAAAAAAGTGCATTTATGTCATCTAGTTTTGAAGTACCCAAGCTACTTTTGGCAAAATACTTACTCTTTTTTTTTTTTTTGAGATGGAGTTTTGCTCTTGTTGCCCAGACTGGAGTGCAATGGCAAAATCTCTGCTCACTGCAACCTACACCTCCCAGATTCAAGCGATTCTCCTGGCTCAGCCTCCTGAGTAGCTGGGACTACAGGTGCATGCCACCACACCCAGCTAATTTTTGTATTTTTAGTAGAGATGGGATTTTACCATGTTGACCAGGATGGTCTCAATCTCTTGACTTTGTGATCCACCCGCCTCAGCCTCCCAAAGTGTTAGGATTACATGCATGAGCCACCATGCCAGGCCAGCAAAATACTTATTAACCATTCCATTTTCCTAAATGATTAAGTTTAGCTGATCATCCAAGTAAGGTGTTAGTAGGTTCTGATAAAAAATTTATTACCCTTCAGTATTGATTCAGCTAGTACCAATGAGGACTTAATGATGTGCCAAAAACTGTTCTTGGTATGTGAGTGTAAATAGCTCTATACCCAACAAACACAGCCCCTACACCACGGAGTTTACAGCCTTGTGGAAATGACAGACATGGGTAGTAGCCTGAGAAACAGTTATAATGGGAGTCTGGCGGGCTCAAGAGCACCTAAAACACCACAACTGTCCCATAGCAAAATGACTCGCCTTCCTACTGACAGACCAGATAAACCTCTGCAGAAGGAACAGGTGGACAGGGAATACGGCAGCTGCAAGAAATGTCCAGAGCTACCACGTCAGACTTCAAACTACTAAAACAGGGACTTGTAATCTAGACTAATCCATTCATTTTAGAGATAAGAAAACCAAGGACACTTTCTAATGTTGACTAATATGTCTACTATTTTTTGTCTATATTTTCTCATTCCCCTGAAGTCCCCAGCTAGAAATAATTGCTCTCTCCTTTTGATTCCCATGGAAGTGTACTGGTATCTCTCTAGTGAAATTTACCTTACTCCATCAAATCTGAGATGTCATCTATTAAAACAATCCTGGGTTTAGACATATTAAAATCAGAGAGCAGGGATCAGGTAGGGGAATATGCATTTTGGAGTAAATAAAATGTGTTATTACTTTCTGACTTGTGTTTTAGCTATCTACATGCCTGTCTTATCTCCTCCAATAGATTTCAAGTTCTCAAAGGCAGGCTAGTTCTAGTCACTTTGTATTGTCTGTTGCAAAAGTTCAGCACCTTGAACTCTGCAGACATTCAAAACATGTTTGAAAAAACTTAAAGCACAATTTATCTGGTAGCCCTGAAATGAGCCAAGTTTTCCAAATCCCAATCTAGTTTTTTTTGGTATCAAATAACATCATTAATCCTTATTAAGTAGAGGTCAGTAGAAGCTTTAATACAATACTTACAGAACACTATCGATGTGCCAGATACTATTGATAAATGCTATATTTATCATTTAATGTTCACAATTGCTGGATATCGTGGATATCTTTTATGCTTCTGGTTCTTATTCCTACAGCTCACCTTTCTTTCCTTCCTTCCACCCCCTCCCTCCTTCCCTCCCTCCCTCCCTTCTCTCTCTCTCTCTCTCTCTCTTTCTCTCTTTCTCTCTTTCTTTCTTTCTTTTGAGGTGAAGTTTTGTTCTTGTTGCTCAGGTTGGAGTGCAATGGGGCCGTCTCAACTTACTGCAACCTTGGCTTCCAGGATTCAAACAATCCTACTGCCTCAGCCTACCAAGAAGCTGGGATTACTGTCACCATGCCCAGCTAATTCTTTTGTTTTTTTAGTAGAGACAGGTTTTGCCATGTTGGCCAAGCTAGTCTCGAACTCCTCACCTCAGGTGATCCGCCTACCTGAGCATCCCAGAATGCTAGGATATAGTCCAGGCGCCTCCCGTCTTAGAACTTATAACCTGATAGAGGATCTGCACAATAATTCAAACAAATACCAAGAATCACTGGATAGATATGAAATTAAAACAGAGAAAGATGCCAGAATGACTGGATTTGAGAAGAGTACCTAGGCTAAGGGAACACCTAAAATTTCTCAATCTTCATAAGGCTGACACTTTGGGAGAGATAATGCTTTGTTGTGGCGGATCGTCTTATGCATTGTAGAATATTTAGCATCAGCATTTATCCAGTCATTGCTAAATATCCTTAAGGTTGTGGATGGCAAAATTGCCCCAGATTGTGAACCACTAATCTAGAGCAAAGTTTCTCTCTCTCTCTCTCCTTCTCTCTCTCTCTCTCTCTCTCATCTTGGCTCTCTGCAACCTCTGTCTCCCAGATTCAAGCAATTCTTCTGCCTCACAGGTACATGCAACCATGCCTAGCTAATTTTTGTATTTTTAGTAGAGATGGGGTTTCACCATTTTGGCCAGGCTGGTCTTGAACTTCTGATCTCAAGTGATCTATCCGCTTTGGCCTCCCAAAGTGCTGGGATTACAGTAGAGCAAAGTTCTTCAAGTGGGATGAGTCTTGACATGTGTGAAAAGCAAAAGACGTTCACAATGAGTAAGGAGGAGAGGCAGGAAGTGAGATAATAAAGATAGGTGATGACCTCACCATGCAAGAATTGTAGGCCAGAAGAAAGACTTCTGATTTTATCCTAAATTTCTGGAGGGCCAGTGTAAGATGCAGCATCACTGTGAGGTGATATGAACTACATTTTGAAAGGGTCATCCAAACTTCCATGGGGAGAATGATTTGGGAAGGGAGGTATAGAGTAGAAAGGGTGAGATCAGGTGGAAGCTGCAGCAGGAGTCCAGGCCAGAGAAGAGGTGGCTTAGAAGAAAATGACAGTACTGGAGGAAGAGGGCAACAGGCAAGTTCAGAATGAGTACTGGGGAAGAGTTGGTAGGATTTTCTAACAAATTGTTACCAAAATACCAGGGGCTCTGTCTAGGTCCTGCTGCTCACCCTACAGAAAGCCAGTCACTGGGACAATGATTATTACCAAGCAAGAAGGCTTCAATCAGGTGCTCCAGCCAAGGAGATGGGAGATCAGTCTCAAATACATCTCCTTGACCTACTAAAATTAGGGGCTTATATAGCAGGGAAGAAATGTAACAATGTGTGAGGAAACAGGAACTTGGGAAGGGTAAGAAAGCAATCATGATGAATTAGGGGGCCTGGCACTTCTTTGTTTGGATGTGATCATCTTCTGAGTTTCAGCTCTTTGTTACTTTTTGAGAGGCCTGGAGGATCCTTTCCTGAGGAAGGAACTCATAAAACCAATGCAAGTTTCAAGCTTTAAAATAAGAACAGTCGATTTCTGCTTATCAGTCCATGGGATTATTGTGTCAGTTTCAAAATTAGATGTGGGGGACAAGGAAAAAGGAGGGTCCAGGAGGAGCCAAAACTGGAACACTTGGGTTGGGGGATGAGGGGAGTGGCATTTACTGGGATGAAGAAATTGGCAGGAGAAGCAGGTGTAAAAGGAGAGACAGAAATCCAGCCATCTGGCACTTCCACAGCCCATGCTCCATTTTACAGCCTTATCTCCCTGGAATGACAACTGATTTCCTCTCGGCTCCTTGATAGTTCAGTCACAGAGGTGGCATTATTTCTCAGTATTGAGGTGGGAGCATGTGTTCTTTCTTTAATTGTTGAAACTGAAAGTAAGGAAAGAGGAGAGAGCGTGGGTCCCAACACAGTGTGGCAGCCAGTTTGAATGTGTAGGCAGACTCGCTGTACTGTGTCAGTGTCCTGTGCTGGAGATACCTTCTCAGAGTTCCCTTCCCTGGAGAGATCTAGGTTAGGGACAGCCAGCAGAGGAATTTGAAGGCCATCTGGAAGGCCGCAGTGAGATAATGGCCATCTACACTCTGAAGTTTGCTGCAGGCAGATGTGTGACAGCTCACACACATTCTCTCTGAACTGCTGCTCCCCTGTGGCAATGGCCATGCCCTGTCCTGCACATCCAGTAGTTCCGTGTCTTCTCCTTCTTTGTCTTCTCTGCATCCTGGGCCGGGAGTACATGCGGCTCTGTAAAGAAGGGCACCAGCTTCTGCATGTTACCTGCATCATGGAAAATGAGGCTCGAAGGCATGACAGATTGATACAACTTCCAGGCTTCCCTCTGCCTCCCTAACTTCATGTCATTCATTTTATCTGCCCAATGTTCACCCTGCCAACTTTTGGTCCCACCCCAAATATAGAGGTAGCAGAACTACATATAATGCTTAACCAGCACCCATGAAAGGTGTGTAAGATCATCATATAATAAATCCTTTACTCTTATCAGCCGTGGTGGTTCCCTTCCCCATCACACACAGCCTTACTGACACAGTGGGTGTCATGTCATTCACCTGGTCCTCTTGTACACATGTCAATGATGTAAACCTCCATCTTTAATCACATTTCAATAGTATATATCATGCCAACAATGGTCCATGTACATGTACATTAACTCATATAATTCTCACAGTATCAACCTCATACTTTTGTTATTAACCATCTCCACTTGCTGATGAGTAAACTGAAACCCAGTTAAGTAACTGGCCCAAGGTCCCATGGGAGTAAGTGATCTATCAATGATGCAAACCAGGCAGTCTGGCTTCACAGACTCTGTTTATAACTGCCTTGCAAGACTGCCCCTGACTAGGCTGGTTTGGAAATGCTGTCACTGCCATTGAGTAGCCACTGATACTTTCTCCCTCTTTATTTTTCAAGAGCTGTAAATTCTCAAGTCCTTCCAGTCTCCAGCTGATATCTCACACTATCCAAGTCTCTGAGCCACCCTGATCTGTCCTGTGCTGCTTTCTCTTATAGGCTCCTAGTGTTGGCAATTTGGTTGCACATGGGTGTTTTTCCTCTGTGGTATCTTGTCCCTGTGGTTATTTTCCTGGAACATAATGTCCTGTCATTTCTGCCCGGAAAACCCCCAGTCATGCTTCAAGCGCCAGTTCAAGTATCTGCCACTCCAGGATATCTTCCTTGACTCCTTCCTGCAGGCAACTACCACAGAATATGTGCTAGTGCATTATTTTTCTTTAGACCCGAGTCAAGTTATTTAACCCCTCCCTACCCCCCAAAACTTCTCAGATGTGTGAGCCAAATCTTAATTCAGCTTTGATTCTCCAATGACTACCCGGTACCTGACATGGATATAGAAGGTACTTAATAAATGTCTTTGTTCCTCAGCCAAAATCTATTCTACTGTGTTGAAACATCCTTAAATTATAAGATTATTGCCTAAGAAAAGTTCTTTCTGTGTTTTTACCATTTTTGCTCTCACAAATTTGTATTCTTCTTTGTATTCACTTTTCTTTGGTAGATACTGGTTGGTTCATTTTAATGAATAAGATGTACAGATCTTGAAAGTACACACACACACCCCTCACACACATTCACTTAAGTGTAGCTACACAGAAAATATGCCATTAAAGTTGTTGTTGTTGCAGGCTAGTCTTCCAAGAGGGCTGTCTAGCACATAGGCACTTTTAACTTTATGCTTTGTGGACCTAGATTTAAAAAAGGAGGCATAAATGTGAGGGTCACAGTCATTGAAAGGAACCTGAGCACCCTATTGCAATTGGTAAGTTTAAAACTTCTCTCATCTTACCCTGTAAGCATTAGGGGCTGTCCTCGCTGCAAACATTAGGATCCAATCACCTGGAGTAAATAGATCAAGGACTTCATAAGCCACAGGTCTCATAAAATTTCTTCTTACAAATGCGTTGTTCTAATAAATGTCTTTGAAGCCAATGGTGCTGATTTTATGGTGTGTACTCAGACAGTCAATGAAAAGGCTGAGAAAAGAGAAAGCAGCAATAAAAACCCACCAGTCCATGAGTCAAAT